AAAAAAAAAAAAAAAAAACTATTACAATCTCCTTTACAATTTTTTTTGTACTGTGAATTGAACCCAGGGCCTTTACATTGAGCTATATCCTCAGGCCTTTGTTTATTTGCTTGTTCATTTATTTATTTATTGGTTTTTTGAGACAAGGTCTTACTACATAGGTCAGGCTAGTCTTGAATTCATTATGTAGCCCAGCTGGCCTCAAACTCACTGTAATCCTCCTGCCTCAGTCTCCTGAGTGTTGGGATTACAGGTGTGTACCACCAAAGTTGGCTACTGATTTTTAATTTTGAATCAGAATCTCACAAAGTTGCCCAGACAGAGCTCAAACTTTTTTTTTTGGTACCGGGATCGAACTCGGGACCTTGTGCTTGCAAGGCAGGTGGCAGAACCACTGAGCTAAATCCCCAGCCCTTTTTCTTTTTCCTTTTTCTTTTTTTTTTTTTTCCAAACTTTTGATCCTCTTGCTTCAGCCTCCCAGAGTGCTGGGATTACAGTCATGTGCCAGCATGCCCATCTTCTTTCTCCTTGAATTCAAATGGCAGCTGGGATGCAGGGGTCAGGGATCTGGCTGGGTCCTTCCTCTCCTCCTGTTTTCTGCCCAGCCTGAGCTCAGGGGGCAAGAGCTTTGCCATTCATTACGTGCCCACTTTATAAGTGGGCCACTCTGAGAGGACAGTGGAGGCTCCGAAGAAGGCAGGAGCCGTTTCTAACCAGCTGCCCCATCCAGCTATCAGGCCTGGCCCTGTTTGCCGAAACTGTATGGGTGACAGCTGACCAGTACCGCGTGTACCCACTGATGGGCATCTCAGGCAAAGATGATGTCTTCGCTGGAGCCTGGATCGCCATCTTCTGTGGCTTCTCCTTCTTCATGGTGGCCAGCTTCGGTGTGGGAGCAGCCCTCTGCCGCCATCGGTCTATGATCCTCATGGTGAGACCCCGGAGCGGGGTGGATGGGCACAGGTGGGCCTGGACAACATTGTCACAGTCATAATAACAGCTACCAAGACCCAGATGTGAACTCCACAGGGCACCTCCCTCAGGCCTCACGGGCATCATTTCATTGCATGGTCCCAAGGCCCCATAATCTAGGCTCGAGCATTACCCCTGGCCACTACAAAGAAAACGGGTGTGGGGATTAGAGGGAAGCTGTGCATGGAAGGATGGCTCATTAGCAAGGCTGGGATTTGAACCCCACTTAGTTGGTCTCCAGAGTCTGTGCTCATGAACTCTTGCCAATAACAACAACAACACAGTGAAGCTATCTTTAATAAGTGCTCCCCACGAGCCAGGAGTCAAATGACTTGCATGGATTTACTCCTCACTGCCTGCCATTGGAGACTGTCGTCATTGTCATCATCCTCATCACCCTATTTGACAGAGATGGAAAATGAGGCTCAGAGAGGGGAAGTCTCACAAGCAGCAAATGGCCCAGCCAGTTTAAACTGAGCAGCTGAGCATGGTGTCGCACGCCTGTAATGCTAGCACTGGGGTGTTCGAGGCCAGCCTGGGCTACATAGCAAGAACCTCTCTCAAAAAACAAAAATAACAACAACAAAAGCAAAAGTTAAACCTGAGAAGTTCCACTCTTGAGCCCATGCCCTTAGTCTCTGCCAACCCGTACTCGTTGATAACCTTGGAAAGCGAGCTCCCTCAGTCCTCCCAGAAGCCCCTGCAGTTAATGCTTTTGACCCATTTACCAGATAAAGAAATTGAGGCCAGAAGAAGCCAATGGCCTCTCCCAGGTGATTGGGAGAGCAGGGATCTCAGTGCAGCCTCTACAGACACAGAGGCCACACTGTGCTTCTCTACATTGTGGGGGGATCTTTTAGACTCCGAGGAGCAACCACATATTCAGTCAACAAATGTTAACTGAGCAGGAAGCATGGGCCAAGCCTATGCTAGGGGTGACAATAGTGAGCAGAATATAAAAGCCCTTGACCAGGAGGGTGGGGAAGGGAGGTAGGAGCTAGGGGAGACCGAGACACCTGGCCAGAGGAAGCAGCAGCTCAGGAGGTGAGAAGCAAGCCAGGGGCCTCTGCAGGAGGAACAGTTCAGGTAGAGGCATCAGCAAAAGCAAAGGCTCTGAGGCCAGAGGGGCCAGGAGTCCAGTGTGGCCACAGCCAAGTGAAGAGGCATCAGGGAGTGGGAGGACTGAGGGCAGATGGGTGAGGAGAACACAGAGGATGGGAATGGGGGTAGGAGGGACAAGGAAGGTGGCTAACCTGGTGGGCCTTGCAGGACTTGGCTTTATCATGAATAAGACAGAGCTATGGAGCCAGGCATGGCGTGCACACCTTCGATCCCAGCACTCTGGGAGGCTGAGGCAGGAAGATCACACATTGGAACCCAGCCTGGGCCACTTAGTGATTTAGCAAGACATGGTCTCAAAGTAAAATAAATAAATAAATGAAAAGGGCTGGGATGTAGCAGTGCAAAAGTTTTGGTTTTGATCCCCAGTGCCACCACCAACTCCAAATAAAATTAAATTAAATAAGTAAATTTTTTGTTTTGGTACTGGGGATTGAACTCAGGACCCTGCACTTGCGAAGCAGGCAGCAGAACTACTGAGCTAAATCCCCAGCCCAATAAGTAAAGTTTTTAAAAGATAGAGCTATAGGGGGCCGGGGATTTAGCTCAGTGGTTTCACGGCCTGCTGCGCAAGCGCAAGGACCTGAGTTTGATCCCCAGTACAAAAAAAAAAAAAAATAAGATGGAGCTATGAAAGATTCCTCCTTTCCTCTCTTTTTCTCTCCCTCCCTCCTTTCTTTCCTTCCTTTTTTAATCCTATATTTAATTTTCTGGCATAACAATTTAACCAAAGCCCTACATTTCACCTAATTAGTTTTTTTTAAGTGTCTATGCCTGCCTCCCCTATTAGTTTATCATTAACTAAGGCATAGAATTTTTAAAAAATTAATTATGGGAAATTTCAGACATAAGGTGGGGTAAATGGCATTTTGAACCCTGTGTCCCCATCACCTGGTTTCAACCAGCTCAGGGCACTGCCCCCTCTGCCTGGCCACATTCTTCTCCCTGGAATAGGTTGAGGCACATTCTAGACCACGAGTCCTTTACCTGTAAATACTTGAGCACACATTTGTCGGTGCGATAAGGACATTGTTTGAAGGCAGTCAGTTGTGCTATGTGATGTCATGCCATCTCTCAGGTGAGCTGTCACACCCACCCCCAGCTTCCTGTTGCTTTAAGGGTGATAGTGAGGGGTGGGGACTGGGAAGGAATTTTCATGAAACAACAACTATTGAGCCTTATTTTGCTCCATGCCAAGGATGAATCTGGAAAAATTCACCCTAGTTCCTTCATATCTTCCGGTCCCCCCCCCATTCTGTACCTCAGTGTCCCTGGTGGTATTGAGAATCTCAATCAATCTTTCTCTCTCCCCACCCCCAAGCTAGTTATGCTTTTATTTTCTCTCAACATTTTATTATAAAATATTTCAAACATCCAGGAAAGCTGGACGACTTAACAGTGAACACCTATGCACCTGTCACCCAGATATGACAATTCACACTGCCTACACCCTAAGCAAAAAGTCTGTTTCTCTTTTTGACCATGAGGATAGAACTTAGGGCCTCCCGCATGCTAGGTGAGCGCTCTACCACTGAGCCACATCTCCTGCCAACATATCCCATTTCTTCTCCCTATAGCTCCATCTCTCTTTGGGGTGTGGCTGCACAGACTCTGTTCTGACTGCTGTCCCTCCCTGTGTCTCTTCCCAGTATCTGGTGCTGATGCTCATCATCTACATCTTTGAGTGTGCCTCCTGCATCACATCCTACACCCACCGTGACTATGTGAGCAGACAGACAGGGAGGGCATGGCTAGGGGAGGGGGAGGTCAACCTCTCCCCCCACCCAGCCCTGCTGGCCTCTGCTCTTCCCAACCCTCACAGATGGTGTCCAACCCATCCCTGATAACCAAGCAGATGCTGACCTTCTACAGTGCCAACACGGACCAGGGCCAGGAGCTGACTCGCCTTTGGGACCGCATCATGATTGAGGTGGGCGCTGGGGCTGCGGTGCAGCTGAGTGGGACAGGGCTTGCCTGGCATGTTCAGGGTCCTGGGTTCCACCTCCAGCTCTGTAAAGAAACAAAACAAAGCACACAAACAAAAAACATGATCTAGGTGGGCATGGTTTTTGGAAGGACCTGGGGTTCTATCTGTCCACAGAAGTAGGAAGGGCTCCTATCGTGCCACTTGTATATGAGTGAGGGCTTGAAAGATGGCCACTCAAGGGCCCCTATGGGGTAAGGGAACTTTGACCATTGCCATTTTCCAAAAGGGTAAACAGGCTCGGAAAGGGAAGGTCACTCACCAAGGCTCATACGACGGGTAAGTGGCAGAGCTGGGTTTCATACCTGGCACACTAGATCCGTGCCACCCCCACAGTGATAATAATAATAACCATAGCACCACCCATTTATTGAGCACCGACTCTTGCTCAGCACTGTTGAAAGCACTTGTAAAATTTCTATAATCCTCACAGCCACCCCTTGAGGGAGATTAGCTTTTGATTGGTAGGAAACTGAGGCCAGAGGTTGATGACTGTCGTGAGGTCACACAGCTGGTAAGTCACAGAACTGGAAGAATCCAAACCCAGGCCACCAGGTTCCAGCAGCCACACTCTTACTTAAGTTCAACATGATATTGCATGAGAGGAGGAAAAAGCTGAGGACTCAAGGAAAATTGAAGTCCCAACTCAGTCCAAGTCATACAGCCAGCCAGGAGCTGAACTGTGTTTGAAGCGTGCCCAAGCCTATCGGGCTTTGGGGGGTAGAGTTGCTTGTTTGTTTGTTTGTTTGTTTGTTTGTTTGTTTGTTTTGGTGTTGATATTAGGGATTGAACCCAGGGTCTTTACACTGAATTACACCCCAGTCCTTTTTATTTATTTTTAAATTTTTAATACAGGGCCTCACTAAACTGCCCAGGCTGAGGTCGGACTTGAAGTCCTCTTGCCTCAGCCTCCAAGACTGCCAGAAGCCAGCCTATATTTTCACCATTCAAGGGCTAAAAACTATGCACCCACTGGGAGTAGGAAAATTAAGAAATCTGTCTTTTTGTATCATTTTGTCAGCATAGTTGTCAGCAATATAATTTTTTTTAAAGGCCTAAGTGTAGGTTTGGTCCAAACCTCCCATCAGCTTACCTGTCCTGGGCAGGCTGGGTCCAGCTGTGTTAAAGGCCAGCCCTGCGCTTGCTGGGTGACCTTAGGCACAAGATTGCCCTCTCTGAGCCCTAGCCTGCCTCGCTCTCACCTGTCTCTCCAGCAAGAGTGCTGCGGTACATCTGGCCCCATGGACTGGGTGAGCTACACATCCGCCTTCCAGGCAGCCACTCCGGAGGTAGTGTTCCCCTGGCCCCCGCTGTGCTGTCGCCGGACAGGAAACTTTATCCCCCTCAATGAAGAAGGCTGTCGCGTGGGCCACGTGGACTACCTGTTCATCAAGGTGGGCTCCTCACCTCACCGCAGCTGCCTCTCTGTCCTTTCCTGGTCTCTACTTCCTCTCTGGTGCTCACTTTCTCCCTCCCACTGTCTGTCTGTCTGTCTGCCTCCCCCTCTGCTCCCCTCTCTGGCTTTCTCTTTCCCTCCTCTCCCCCTGCTCTCCCCACTCTCCCTGCAAGTCAGCAGGATGCTCACAGCTCCGTCTGACCCACACCTGGCTCCTGCAACTTGTCTCAGGCTGCCCAGGAATGAGAGCAACAACCACAGTGATGTCAACAGCACAGTGCCAGTGATGACCCACGTTTGTTGAGTTTCTCCTTTATGTCACCTGTTCTTTCAGTGCTTTCAATTTTTATCTTATTTAATTGTCACCACAATCTGACAAGGTAAGGATTCCAAAATGACCTCACTGTACAGATGATAAGACTGAGAGGTTGCTCACTAATTAGGCAGGGAGCTGGGATTTGATTTTGAACAGTCAGGCCCCAAAGAGTTCTTTAATTACGCAAGGCCAGCTCAAAACCAGGGACAGGAGTAGGAATGTAGACTAAAGTCATGTTTGGTGGCACATGCCCATAATGCTAGCACTCTGGGAAGTGAGGCAGGAGGATCCTAAGTTTGAGCCAAGACTCCGCAACTTAATGAGACACTGTCTCAGAAAAAAAAATTTTTTTTTGGTATCAGGGATGGAACTCGGGACCTTGTGCTTTCGAGGCAGGCAGCGGAACCACTGAGCCAAATCCCTGGCTACAAAATTTTAAAAATGTTTTTTAAAAACACTAAGGATGTAGCTCAGTGCAAAGGGTCTGGTTTCAATCCCCAATATTGACTAAAAAGGAGGGTAGATAAGGAAAAAAACTGGTCCCACTGGCTCCTCTGACTGCTTTTGGCTGCTTGCAGGCCCTATGGCAGCACATCTTAAATCAAGTGGCCCAGAGAGGGCAGCCGGCTGCAAAGCATGGCCAGGGGCAGAATAGGACCGCCATTTCTCAATCCCGCTTCTGTGCAGAGCGCGATCATGCATCATCTCATGGAATCCTTGTGACTGCTCTCAAGATCGCCATTTCATGGAAGGGGGGGAAACTGAGGCTCAGAGGGTCAAAATCATACTAGGTCCTGCTGCCCAGTATGACAGAGGTGGCCTCCAGCCCAGTTGCCAGAGCATAAGCCCCAAGCTAGGACAGGGGCTGCATGAAGGGGCCCTGGCCCCACTCGAGCTCATTTGTAAATGAGCAGGTGTCAGAACTGGACTAAACCTAAGGATTTATTGCAGACCTTTGGGCTTGGTTCCACATCACCTCCCAGGCCCCTGAAGCCTCCTTGGGACATAGACACTGCCATGATCCCCATTGCACAGGTGGGAACTGAGGCCCAGGAAAGGAAATGACTTCCCCAAGGGCTTCCCCAGTCACACAGTGACTGGCCTTTGGCTGCCAGCCTCCTGGGAATCTTCTCCAATCCTCGCTGTCCCTCACCCAGGGCTGCTTCGAGCACATAGCCCATGCCATCGACAGCTACACGTGGGGCATCTCCTGGTTCGGATTTGCCATCCTGATGTGGACGGTGAGAGGCGGGAGCCTGTGGGCGGGAGGAAGCTGGGAGTGGGCCGGGCACCCCCGTCTCACTGCCTTCTCCTCAGCTGCCCGTGATGCTGATAGCCATGTATTTCTACACCACACTCTGAGGGACGAGAGGCAGAGCCACGCCTGCTCCTCGGCCTCTGGGCTCCTGCTTCTGCCTCCTCCTGCTGGGCCTACGCAGCTGCCTCACCTCTCCCCTGCCACCTCCCTCACCCTCCCCTTCTGCATCCAGGACCCCAAGCCCTACCTGGCCTCAGCTTCTCCCTATCGCTCCCTGAGTTCCTTCTGTGTGGCAAGCGTTACCACTGCTCCTAGTTTGTGATTGTCTAAGCCCTTGTAGACTGGGATCACCATGCTAGGGGTGACACATTCTGTCAGAGTCACTTTCTGGTCCCCACCATCACCCAGCACGGGGCTGAGCGTGGAACCAGATGCTCAATAAATACTAGCTGATTGAATGAATGTATGGATGAATTTATTTTCTTTTGGGGCAAGGTTGAACGAACAAGAACTCTCCCGATGGACGTGGCAGAAACCCAGCTGATGCTGGAATTTTTTGGTTCACATCACCAAGTCGAAAGGGTTGGCTTCGGGCATGTCTGGTTCCAAAGTTCAGTCTAGGTTGCTGGGAAACCTGCTTCCTTCTCTGACAGTATTTCTTGGGCAACACTAAACTTATATCTTTATAGCTAAGCAACACAGCAGCCAGAAAGGGCCTCTCTCCCAGTGCTTTAGCCAAGGTTAGGAATGAAATCTCACTGTCTTGGTTCAGGTACTTGGTTCCAGGTGAGGAAAGGCACTAAGTATAACTTAGTGTCCATCACTCTCCCTCCTTCATTTTCCCACCCCTGTTGGGGATGGAACCCAGGGCCTCACACATACTAAATAAGCACTTTACTGCTGAGCTCCATCCCCAGTCTTTTATATATATATCTTTTGGTACCGGGGATCGAACTCGGGTCCTTGCACTTGTGCAGCAGGCGTCAAACCCACTGAGCCAAATCCCCTGCTCACCTTTTTATATTTTTAGAGACAGGGTTTTGCTAAATTGCCCAAGTTGGTTTGGCTGGGATTACAGGTATATGCCACCATGCCCAGCTACACTGGTCTTTTTAAAGAAAAGGGTTAATGCTTTTTAAATAATGTTTAAGAGGCCAGGCATGGTGGCCCACACCTATAATCCCAGGGCTTGGAAGGCTGAGGCAGAAGAATCACCTGAGTTAGAAGGCAGCCTGGACTACATAGTGTGTTCAAGATCAGTCTGAACTACATAGTAAGACCCTTTTCAAAAAGTCAAATGACAATGACAATGATGATGGTGATGGTGTTTAAGAGACTTGGGAGATACTTTTAGAGAAAGAAAACTAACTTTTACTCTGCCCGTTTAAAAAATAATACAAATTTAGAAGTGGATACATTCCATGTTCCACTTCCCAGTATCTCCTCTCCCCACAATCTGTTCTAAACCTCTAGATAACTGATATTAAGACTAGACATTTTAGGACTGGAGATTTAGCTCAGTGGAGCCACATCTGCCTCACAAGCACAAGGTCCTGGGTTCTATCCCAGGTACAAAAAAAAAAAAAACTAAAATTTTTTTTTTATAGAGGAAGGTAAATGGGGCTGGGGATTTAGCTCAGTGGTTCCAGCACCTGCCTCGAAAGCACAAAGTCCCAAGTTCAATCCCCAGGACCAAAAAAACAAAAGGAAGGTAAATGTCCTTGTTAGCCTTTTGAAGGCTTATAGGTACACATTTCTGTATTTCTAAACAAGCATATACATGCGTTAAATGAAATCATGTTTAAATACTGCTTTACCTCTGGGAGGCTGAGGCAGAAGGATCACAAGTTGTTTGTTTGTTTGTTTGTTTATTGCAAGTTTGATCCCAGCCTGGGCAATTCAGCAACTTAATGAGACCTTGTCTCAAAAAAAAAAATTTTTTTTAAGTGTTTTGTTTTGTTTTTTAAAAGAAGAGCTGGGGCTGGGGCTCAGCCCAAAGGCCCTAGGGTCATTCCCAGTACCAAAATCAAACCAAAACAAAACAACACCCACTGCTTTACTAGTTGTTTCTCCACCTAGCCATACCGTGGTTATTTTTCCAAGCCAATATGTGTGAATTCACTTCTTTTTGAAAAAGAGTTGCAATATTTTCCAGAATAAAGCTGTGCCATGGTCATCGTAATTTTTATCAGTGAAAAAGTTCAAAAGCCAAACACAGTGCTGAAGTGCTTCCATTTTGATAAGAATTACACATCCATATCCCCTGAAAGAGCCCTCTGGGGAGAGGAGTAGGAGGAGATGGGAGAGGAGGAGGAATGTTCACATCATATATAACTTGTGTCATGTTTGAAACAATTTTCATAAAGATATTTTCTTTTCAAAAACAAAAACTAATAAAGAGATTTCTAAAACAGTGAAAAATATCTGGATTTACTGTACAAACCAGATTGGGTATTTTGTTTGTTTTTTGTTTTAAACCACTTAGACATGATACACATCATATTTTAACAAGACTCCTTCTAGGCTAACTGGCCTAACTGGCTTTTCTGCAGTCCCTGGAATAAAATTTGTTCCTCATCACCAGGCACATATTTGACCAGCTTATAACCATGTCAAAGAAATCATGGGGGGGTCCCGTCCTCATCTGCTTTTTAGGTCTTGTGTGTCCTCCTCGTGAGTGGTCCACAGTGACTAAGTCTGTGACTCTGATTCTCCAAGAAGCAAAGAGGCAGCACTGCTTCCTTCCAGCCCCACCAAACTCAGCCTCAGTGTGTCCCTCTGTAAAATGGGATCGCAGCACTGCCAACCTCACACTATAGGGATTCCAGTTTCAGAGCTGAAGAAATGATCGACCCTTGAATCAGGGACTTTCTCCATACCTCTCTTGTCAGAACAAAATGCAAAAATAAATTGCTTCCTGGGACTGCAACTGTTTCTGGTGGACCCCAATTTCAAGTGTTTGGAGCCCTACCTATCCTCAACACCAAAATGACCCAAATATTTGCAATTTTTTAATATTAATTTTTATTGGTACATTTTTACCATACATATTGATCACATTCATCATAATTTGTACCTGTACATAATATATTTTATTTTTCCCATTCCCCTCCCCTCCCTTCAACCTTTCTTCCCTTCCCTATTTACACAACTTTGTTTCCATTGTTTTCCTTCCATTTCTTCTTTCAACCCTATTCCCTTCATTCCCTTCCCCCGCCCCCTCCCCTTGTTCCACTTCCCATTTGAACATTTTCTTCCTACTTCTCAATATCTATTCTTCATTTTCTCCTTATTTATGCTTTGGATTTCTCACACAAGTGAAACAATATAATATTTAAACATGTGTGTCTGATTTATTTCACGTGAAGTGCATCCATTTATTTCTCAAAGTGTGTCTATTTACCTAAAAATGTCTCAAATTCATCCTTCTTTATGGCAGAGTAGTACTCCATTGTATATAAGAACCACATTTTCTTTATCCATTCATCCATTGATGGGCATATGGGCTGTTTCCAAGATTTAGCTATTATAAATTGTGTCTAGCTATAAATTGTGTTAGCTATTATAAACATGTGTGTGCATATATTGCTGTGGTATGATGCTTTTAACTCTTTTAGGAAGATATCTAGAAGAGGTATAGCTGGGTCAAATGCAACCCCTAGTTTTAGTTTTTTTGAGGAATCTCCATATGGATTTCCAATTTACACTCCAACCAACAGTGGAGAAGGGTTCCTTTTTCCACACAACCTTGCCAGCATTTGTTATTGGTTGATTTCTTAATGATAGCAAATTTTCTGGAGTGAGATGGAATCTGTGTTGTTTTAATTTGCATTTCTCAAATGACCGGTTATGTTACATTTTTTCCACGTATCTATTTGCTGTTTGTACTTCATCATCTGAGAAGTGTCTATTCATTTCAGATGTCCATTTTTGGATTGGGTCTTTAAATTGGGGGGGGGTATGGTTTTTTGAGTTCTTTATACATTCTAGATATGAGTCCTTTGTTTGAGCATTGGCTGGTAAAAATTTTTATTCCCATTTTGTGGGTTGTCTCTTCACTCTATTGGTGGTTTCTTTAATACTTGCACTTATGAAAGAAAGTCACACTAGAAAATTCTTAGTGCTTTCACCAAGTGATGACCAACCTCTGGGGCCAGTGTATGTTAGGGTTAATATATTTGGCTGAGGGTCTTTTGAACCTAGGGCCTCATGCATGGTAGGCAAGTGCTCTACACCTGAACTATATCCCCAGGCCTTTTTAAATTTTTATTTTATTTTGAGATAAGGTTTTACTATGTTGCCCTGGCTGGCCATGGACTTTTGATTCTCCTGCCTCAGCCTCTCAAGTAGCTGGGATTACAGGTGTGCACCATCATACTTAGCTTAATAGAAGATCTTTTAAAAATGTTTATGTGGCTGGGGATTTGGCTCAGTGGTTTTGCTGCCTGCTGCGCAAGCAAGCGGAAAGATCTGAGTTTGATCCCCGGCACTGAAAAAAAATATTTATGAGGTTATTGGAAAATAAAATGTATAAAATCAGTTTTCCCTTAAAATCATATTGCAAAAAAGAATACTTAATGGCAAGTGAGAACACATGCATTTTTTAAAAAAGAAGATATGTTTATGGTTACACTAAAATTAAAAAAAAAAAGAAGCCAAGCATGATGGTGCACTCCTATAACCCTGCACTCAGGAGGTTGAGGCAGGAAGATTGCCATGTGAGGCCAGTGAGTTCAAAGCCAGTCTGGACTACATAGCAAGACCCTGTCTCATGAACCCCTCAAATAAATAAATAACTTTTAAAAAAAGATAACAAGTTATCTCTAATGTTAACATTGGGTTTTTTGTTGTTGTTTTGTTTTTGTTTTGAGACAGAGTCTCACTATGTAATTCAGGCTGGCCTTCAACTCGCTATGTAGTCCAGGCTGGCTTTGAACTCACAGTGATCCTCCTGCCTCTGCCTCCCGAGTGCTGAGATTACAGGTGTGTGCCACCACTCCCAGCTAACACTGGTTATTAAGGAAGGGGGGGCCGGAGATTTAGCTCAGTGGTTCCGGCGCCTGCCTCGCAAGCGCAAGGTCCCGAGTTTGATCCCCGGTACCAAAAAAAAAAAAAAAGGAAGGGGAGACACAGGGGATTTTTTATTACATTCTTTGGGTATTTTAGTATTAATATTTTCCCAGTATTTTATGATGATAATTGCTTTTGTCCTCCAAGAAAAATAAAAACTTAAATGGTAATAAAACGGGGTGCAAGTCCAGCACGGTGGCCCAATCTTCTTTATTCCCAGATGCTGAGGAGTTCGAGGCCACAATGGACAACTTAGTGGGATCTTGTCTCAAAATACAAACTAAAACATGCTGAGGATGGCTCAGTGATACAGCTCTTGCATGTGCAAGGCCCTGGGTTCAATTTCTAATACCACAAAAATAAATACATAAATAAATGCCCCTGATGGACAT